GGTACCACAGAGAGCTGACGTGGTACCACAGGGAGCTGACACAGTGCACAGAGAGCTGATGCGGTACCACAGAGAGCTGACACAGTGCACAGAGAGCTGACATGGTACCACAGATTTCTGCTCCAGCTCCACACAGCCAATGCACAGCTGGCTCAATGTTTCTAGAGGCACGGCCCATGGACACTGCTCTTGTTTTCTCTTTTCGTTTTTTCCTTTTTCCTTTCTTCCTTTCTTCCTTCCTTCCTTCTTTCCTTCCTTCCTTTCCTTCCTTTCTCCTTCCTTTCTTTTTTGAGACATAGCCTTACTCTGTAACCATAGCTGACCTCAAACTTACAGAGATCTGACTGCCTCTGCCTCCTGAGTGCTAAGAGTAAAGGCAGGAACCACCATCTTCAACTCACAACTACGTTTCTTTCAGTCTTATTTTATTTTAATTCATATTAAAATATAGGATATATCTGAAATTGTGCTTATAAATATTATTTGGTAAGAAGCAATTTTTGGAATGTCTACTGTTAAATGAAACAGATGCGGAAAAGATCCCTCGTGTCTGGAGGTTAGAGACTGAAGAAGCTCATCGGTGAGGGGACACCCGCCCTGATTCTGCCCTGCCCCTCTGCCCCGACGATGGCCAGCTACCCAGCTCTCTGCCCAGAGTGCCACAGACAAAGTGCTGTTGTCATCAGGTTATTGGGTAGATTCTGAGGATTCGTTCACATCAGTGACTCCCACAGGGGTTGGCTCACAATGAGTGTGAAGGTTTGTGTCTCCCTCTCCCCTTCACCTGTTTACCTGCAACTCTTAAGCTGCTGCTAGAAGAGATGCTTTGACGAGCCAATCAGATGATGAGGGCAGGGCGCACGTGACTGAAACTCGTGAAAAAAGCTGCGCAGTGCTAACTGATCTTTTCTACCCTGCAAGGAGTGAAGGCCCTAGGAATCTGTGAACTAGGAAACGGACCCACACAGAACGTACAGTCAGAGTGTTGAATTTCACTGCTTCCAAAATGGACAGAAATAAATTACCAGCTTTTATAAGCCACCCAGCTTACAGAACCCTGTGACAGTGGCCCGAGTGGACTTGTACAGCTGGCTACCCAGTATTCGACAGGCAAAGGGGGCCTCTCGTGCTCCTAACCCACTGCGCACCAGTGATTCCATTCACGTGCTGGAAGCAGTAAATGAACCTATATCAATACATCAAAAGGCGAAATACCCGTACGGCTTTCTATTTATGCCTTCTTTTCTACTAGAAGTCTGACTTCTATTTACCTCTACTGGCAAGTCTTCCTAGATAGTCTAGGTCAGACATATTCTCCCTCCTCTATCATATTTTGAAGGCACAGGTGTGAAAATGTTGTCAAGAGCTCATTCTGAGCTTATCTGCCTAACCTCTGCCCCATTTGATAGTCTGTGACCTCCAGGAAGCAAGGCTGGTATCTTTTCAAGTTCGAAGCCTTCTTAGTACCCAGGAGAGAATTCCACACTTATTAGATACTCAATAAATGGTTGTTAAACTTGGCTGAACTCACTTTTTTTCTTTATGGTAGATGCCTTAAGAAAAAAGCATAAAATAAATGAATTACTTTTTTTCCTTTCATTGCGATATATATGCCCTGGGCTAGTGGGTATTTGCAAGCCTGGGTTAAAACTTGGGAAAGCCATCAATCTAAGAAGGAAGAAGAAATGCATTTAAATCACAAGTGCAGTAGAGCCTTGTATCAGGCCTTCTAGCAAAACAATGGTTGATGTCTGCATAGCCCAGGTGCTAAGCGTCTGAGGGTGAGAGACAATGAGTGAATGATCCCCACTCATCTTCCGTAGCTAGGTAGTTCCGCGAAATGTACACAGATGGAAAGTTTAGGTCTGAGAGTCATATGTGGGTGTCATAATGCAAATAATTGACTTTCTTTTCAAAGAACAGCTGTTGAAGCATCTGAAAGCAGTTGTTTATCCTGCTGCCAAAATGCTGAAAATATAATAATTCTCCAATGAGGTTAGAGTTATCCAGGGGAAGAAAAATGGTTTTCTATGTAGCTCTGTTTTTATTAAATCTTGTAGTTGTTTCTCTAACATGGCACATAGGAAACTTTAAGTAATATTTGTTGAATGAATGTTGAATAAAAAGAAAAAACTTATTAAACAGTTGTTGAATGAATCATTTCCCATTTTTAGACTCAGAAGATACAGTTTTAGAAAATAGTATGCCCACAAAGTTTTATCATGTCATATAACATTTTTATTTGGCATAAATTTAAATAATACCAATATTGCTCTGTACATTATGAGATGTAATCAGCATACATTGCTATAATAGAAAAACTCTCAACACTATACAAAATGTATGAATAAAGTTAGATTTCAATATCTTAATGTTACTTTAATTCATTATTATGAAAACTGTAAAATTTGAATTGCAGGCTTGCATAATTATGCTTGTTTCAATAAACAAAATTAAAATTTAAAACACTGCTAATGTGTATAACTTATACCTCTAAGAATATTCTGAGATTTAAAAGCTCTAGAATGTTCGGAGAGTGTGAAGAAGGTGACTGCAGAGCATGACACTGACGTTTCTCTGCCTTTCCAGTGGCTTTCCTCTGTACTCTTTCGTAAGACAGGCAGGTGGGCTTCCAAAGACTTCCAAGAATCCACTCTGCCAAGTTTCAGTAAAAACAGAGCATGCTGAATCAATGTCAGATTTTGAGCGCAACCAATAAAATTGCAATGTTAAGAAAAAGTATCGTGTTGTTTTTTTTTTTTTAAACCAGCGCTTTTTGTGAAGACAGCTCCTATACAAGTCCACAGGAGATACCTCTGAAGGAAGCAATGCTATTTAATTACATAGTTTCTCCCCAGCAGCCCCTTACTTTGATGGTCATTGTGACTCGGTTTAGGAACATTTTTTTGAGTGAAAGAAAGAAAGAAAGTTCAAGCCATAATAAGCGCCATATTCATCCTTGAACAGACAGAAGCGTCTGGCTTCTTTCTGTATATCTCAACTATATGCACACACACATATAACAGAGAACTATGAGTTGCAAAGTATATTTATAAAGAGTTTTAAATGAACTGGTAAGTTCACTATGGTTATGATAGAATAAGAAAATAGCTGATCCCCAAACTGAATTCACAGCTCTCAATCTCTGATTTCTTGGTTTCAGTTTACTTTCATGTATAGAGTGTGCCTCTTCATGAGACACAGGATTTGAATCCCAATTTGGCTGCATCCTAGCCTCTATACATGACTGTGGACAAGTTACATAGGTCTTTTGCCTCAGTCCTCCAAGTAACAAAAACATAGCTACAATAGGATAACTGGCTTGATTAAAAGAATTAATGCACATCAAGACCCCAAATAGTGACTGAACTAGTTGACTGAACTCAGTTTTTATTGGCACACTTTGTGTCTGTCTCCTTGGCTATATTAGAAGAGGAATGACAAAATCATCTCAAATAGACTTGTGAGTCCTCAGAAACATAGGCTTAGCAAACAGATAATAGTTAACTACATAATAATTATTACAGCAAAACCTAAGTAACAAAATAACATTAGTACTCCTTTTTCATGGGACCTCACAGTTCTAAGTAAAAAATGCTTGGCAAGAAGGGTTACCCAAAAGACAGTGGAGAAATTTTCACCAATACTCGCTTTACCAGCTCTGAGTAATTCTTTTCCACTTCGTTACAATTTTCAGTATGTAGTCTGATGGTTTAAATATTAAATTTTATGCAGACATGACTTGATGAAAATTAAGGCACAAATTTAGAATAGGATAAAATTTATAACACTGTATTATGGCATTAATGGGGTATTAATTAACTATATTGTATGTGACAAAATTTTTACTTAACTTTAAACATATTCAAACTAAAACTTACTTTTTAAAAAGTGTAGGCACTGTAAAATTTACATTCAGAATAAAGTCAAATGTTTATTACAATGTCAATATTTTGACCTACCAAAACTGAAAATATTTTTTAATTAAAAAAAAAAATTCTCATGCAAGAGCCACAAAGGTGCCTTTAATTAGGGTTAGCTTTAATTAGCAACCACTTTGGTCTCTGACACACATCGTGCAGATATTTAAGTGTTAATATTGCCAAGGCTTGATTACAAAAGGCAGTGATTAATTTCGGGGCAGACAAAAAAGGTATGCCCTGATTACAAAGGAATGATTAAGGCGGAATGTCAGACGTTGTACATTTGTAGGAGTCTTTGCTGGCCTCTGAGGAGAAGACTTTGCAGAAGTTTATATTTAGAATCATGGGTACTTTGCGCTTGATAACTCTGACGTCTGTGTCTTGGAGACTGGGTGTCCAGCTGCAGAAACACCCCAGAGCCGTGAGCACAGACCACTGCAGCCTGGCCCCAGCGGGCTCCCGTAGTTCTCGCGAGGCGCCCTGAGGCCTTCTCCTCCTGGACATTCCGCAGGGACAGGTTCCCGCCCGTTACTGTGGGCGTCTTTTCCTCGAGAAGAGGGAGCCGGGAGGGGAAGCTGGGCGCCAGCAAAGGCTGCTTTTCTGTGGGAGCTGTGCCCACCGCAGAAGCAGGCCGGGCTAGAACCTTGGAGGGCGGGTGGGAGAGCGGTGGAGGAGCAAGGCCCGTCCCCGCTCGGGGCGCCGGGGTGCGTGCCGCGGCAGCCTAGCGGGGAACGACCCCAGGAGCCCCCTTCCTGTGCGTTTCAGGATCCTCAGGGGACGTGACAAAATATTTAAGGGCAGACGGAGGAGCCGCAGGAGCAGGCCCGGCATGAATCTGGAGTCCCTGTTTCAGCACATCATCCTAACGGAGCAGCAGGCGGAGGAGAGCCGCAGAGTGATGCGGCAAGGTCAGGGGCCCAGCCCGAGGGGCATTCTGTCTCTTGGAGCTGTGGGAGAGGGAGGGGAGGATTATGAGCGGAATTGGCAACCTGGAGGGAAAGACAGTTGAAAACTCACCGACTGCTTCTGAGGTGGAGGCTTGAGGAAGATGGATGCGAGTGAAGACTTTGTGTTACAGTGAGGGCAGAAGTAACCAGATACCGTGGAAAAATTAAGAAAGCAACAGAGGATCTGGATGAAGAGAAAATCAAGTTGGAATCCAAGGTATTGATGCATAGCGCATGCTAACTTACTTGAGAAAGTGTCTGATCTTGGCTTTGGGGAGTAACTTAACTGTTTATCCTTCAACTAGGAAACTCAAGACTTCTATACCATAGTTCTGTGTTGTCTAATATTTAACGTTCTGAATCCAGTGATACAGTGATATTTTTAGCTTTTAATATGAGGTGGCCTCAAGGAATCCAGACTTAAATAACGAATTCATTGTCCATTTTGTGGGATGGTTAATGTTGATAAAACAATACAATATCAATGAAAAAGTAATTGTTCAGTAAGTAGTTTGTGCGGCATATAAAATTTAAATACTAAATAATTTAAGCGTGCTGTGTGGATGTAATGGATTGAATGCATCTTTCAAACGAGTCTTGGCTTTCTGCTTTTCAATTCACTACCACACTTTAGGACATACCTCGTTCAAAAGTGTCTTTTACCCACTCTCGTTTCTCTCTTCTGCTAATTTGTAAAGTTCTGCATTTAAAAAATAATAGGGAGGGTGGGATCGGGAAGGGAGGAGAGAGGGGCTTATGGGGGGATACAAAGTGAATAAAGCATAATTAATAAAAATTAAAAAAATAAAAAAAAATAAGACCAAGGGATCTGATGGCTTCAATGAAGATTTTGAACTATGGATAGAATTTTGAAGAAGAAAAGAGATTCAGTAGGCGAAACCTTTTGTAGCAAAGAGGGAGCAGATCTGCCCCAGGCACATTGAGAAGAGGCCCCCAGACCCCAGCAGGGGCAGGTGAGTGGAGTAGGAGGGAAATGTTGCTAGATTTGACCCAGGAGGGGCAATAAAAGCGCTTTTAGGAGTCACTCTGCACTCTGATCACAAAGGTGGGGACAGATGGTGAGACCACACTGGAGACCTCATTCTGTTTAGGAAGACACCGGTGTCCAAGAATAACGATGAGCTAAGTAGGCAGTGTGCACAGGTAGACTCTTACTTGATTGCTTATATTTTTGTTTACGAGTTTTCCATTTTATTATATATTAAATATAAATGACAAACTTATTTATAAAGTATTGTTCTATTAATTTAGCTTATACTTGTGAGGACATTTCAGTTTCCTATGGATAAAACAATTCATGATCGTCACAAGCTGGTGACCAGTCTTTCCACATCTTGTACATAGTAAAGCCTTCCCTAAATAGCTCTGTAAATTTTCTCTACTAAATGTCAGCACATACTCATGTTTGTAGCCCCTGTTGCTTCGAGAAGAACATACTTGGAATTTTTTGTACATCTTTATTCTCTCGTGTTTGTGCTTAGCAAACATCTACATTCCTGTGTTCACCACTAAGAGTAGAAAACAAGGAAAGAGCTATGTTGATAACTCGACCAATAAAAATTGTGCATGTGTTGTAAGTGACAATTAATGTTTACTATTGATCTATTTTTTAAAAAGCTGCTGTTAATCCTGAACAGCTGTATAACCAAATCACCACACAGAGACTGGGATTTATTTAGTTAACCTAGAACTCAATGCTGGGCAATAGTTACTCCTTCTTAAACCTCCAAGCCCTCATAGTTTCCTAACATTTAGATTTCCCACATTATACCTGCTTTTAGTGATATATTAAGTCCAGTCCATCTCACCACCTCATTCCAAGATCTCTCTCCTGCTTCTGTTCTCCCAGCCTCTGCCTCCCACTGCTTCCTGTCCTCTGGCTCCTCCCTCTCTTCCTGCTTCCTTTCCCTTGCTCAACATTGTGGCTAGTTGCTTTATTTTGGCATGTTTACGAAAAGTTGAGACAGGTGATGCTTAGAATAAGTATCACAATGCAATGTCCAGATTGAAACCAGGTAGTGGGAGAGAGAAGTCAGTATTTGAATGAACAAGGGTAAGGTGTATACATTCCAAAAGAACATTATACCAACATGCATATTTGTGAATTCCATGTTATTTTTCATACATTTTGTAATGCTAAAATCCAGGTTAATGTATTTGAGCCAACATCCTGTCTTTGTGGTGAAAATATTACAAATCTTTGAAGTTTTAGTATATGCTGTTAACTATAGTCACTGTGCTATGCAGTAGAGTACGGCAGCATTTATTCCTCCTGCGTATCCACCAACCAGCCTTTCCTATCTACCCCTTTCAACGAAAGATACTGGCTACCTTTTAAAGCAGAATTTGGGCTAGTATAATCTTTCCTGGAGTAAAAGAAAAAGTAGCCCCTACTGACAATGCAGAACACTGGTGGGATGGGCAGAGAGACCAGTGGCATGATACTTTGAAAGTTGGCAAATAGAAGCCAACAGAAGAAAAGACACACACATGCACGCACGTGCATGAGAGAGAGAGAGACAGACATAGACATCAGCCCCTCCCCCTCCCAGGGTCTCCACAGCTAACAGTGCTCTGAAGCTGGGTGCTCTTCAAAGGCTGGATTAACTCCTTTAGTTCTGGCAGGAACTCTGAGAGGAGCCATCATTCCTCATTTACAGGCAGAGAGATGAGAGTTTAAATGACTTGCTCATGGTGTATAATATAGAACCAAGTAACTACTGTAATAAAAGTAACAATTGATTGAGAAAAACAACTCTATTAAAATGATTCTTGAGCTCATCTGGAACACTTTTCTCATGACATACAATAATGCCTGTGAAGCTTTGCATCTGGGTAATAGTCCTTAAAGGTCAAATACAGGTAAGTTTTTACTTGTGTCAAGTGCATTTTTCTGGGATTGGTGAAGATACTGATCTGAGATATAATGTTTTATTTTAAGTGAAATACTTTTTCTCTGTCATGTTTTCTAAGACAAATATTCTTTGTACTAGTTTTAGCCTGTTTTACCTGCAGATAGAAATGTGCTGTTGATATCTACACACATGTCTGTTATGTATGCACATATATAAAGAAAATATTGATTTAATTGTTTGTGCTAGAGAAAACCAGCAAATCTCTAATAGTGTTTAAAAGCATTCATTAAAATTACTAATTAATATAGGCTCATAAATGTGCATTGTTTTTAATCAGCTCATATGCATGGGTAATAATATAATTGTGTCTTACTAATAAAACCAGCATATGAGGGTCACAGTGCATACAACACTAATTTGTAATTGAGGTAATTTGATTTATAATGAGAGTCAAGATGGTATGTGTGTATAAAGATTTAAAAGTGGAACTAAGATTATAATGTAAATGAGTAATGGGAAGAGCGAAAGAAGTAATCATAAATTGATTCTCTGTTTCTTTTTTCTCAGAGTTAATTATATGTCTGCCAATAACAATGAAAATATATTTACTTGAATATTTGACTTGGTGTTTATTGACCCATTTATCAAACAGAAGCAGCATGGAGAGAAGCTAGCACATAATTTGAATAGAGCAGTACTTGAGCTATTGTATATTCACATGGTCAAAATATATTTGGGCATATATTTAGGAAATTGCTTGTGGTCAAAAACAAGCAATTTAGGAAGCACAGTATTCTTTTTCCCCCTAGTCTATAGAACCTAGGTAGCATGTGATTAGAACTTGAATGATAACAATTCTGTCTCAAGACTGGATGAGTCCTTTAAAATAGATGGTTGCAAAAAGTCTCCGATGGCCAGAGTGCTCTGCCTGCCTGGTTAAGCGTGTCATGTGACAGCAGAAGGGTAGGAGTGTGTGGTTTGCGTAGGCACACTGGAACTCACCAGCGTGCCTAAAGCCGCCAGTTCTCCACGGGAGGCTCTGTGATTCTGCTTTCAGAGAGGTCAACATGAAGGCTTAGAGAACTATTATAGTTTCTTAGAAGCAACCCATTGAATTTCTTATAAGTAAAAATGGGCATGTAATTATAATTTGGGTAGTTTTTATAAACATGTAAAACCCAGTACTGGGCCATATTTCTGTAAGAGGGATAAATGGAGGAAAAGATTAGGCTACAGTAGCATATTTTACATATTTTCGCCATTTAAGCTTATTGGATAAACATCTTCTACCTTTTCAATTTGTGATTATAATATAATTACAACATTCCCCTTCCTCTTTCTTCCTCTGAACAATCCAGTGTACCCTCCCTGTTCTCCTCAAAGCCACGGCCTACTTTTCTGTTGCATGCTTGTGTGTATATGTCTATGCCTTTTTGTGTTCCAGTCTGATTACTGTTGCTTTATGTATGCAGAAATATCTTAAGAACAATAAAATGTTTTATGATTTTAAAAGAAAATGTTAGAATGAAGTCACAAAATGGCTCCATTTACATTTTTAAAAACTGTAGACGTTCTGCTTTCTAATTGATAATGTCAGTCACACTCTCAGAACTTGAGAAGTCATCTTTTGGTACTAAATTACTAAGTCAAGGAAAGAATAAGACCATGAATTATTATTATTTATAACATTAAAATGGAAGTTTTAGCACAGGTGTTTGTTTCTTTTAAAATTTATTTATTAAAGAAAAATTTCTATCCTGCTTATACTTAGTTAAAATTTACTTAAAAACAGAAGACTGTCAGCTTATGTCACAACAAAATTCTGCATAAATAGCATTGGGATGTTGCTGACTCACAACATGAAACCCAACACTTGATTCACGGCTTTATCCGTCATTATAAGAAAAACCTTGCCTTTGTGGCCGAATTGAATAATTGTTAGGGTTTTTTGTTTGTTTGTTTGTTTTTGCTTTTCGTTTTTTTCTTCTCATGTAATACAAATCTGAAAGAAGAGTTACCAGGGGCCGTGTATTAAAGTGGCTCAAGGAAGTCCTAGAACCTGAGCTCATACTGTGTTTGTTGTCACTGTGGTTGGCTGGCACTGTCCAGCCTCCCTGAGCGCTGTTCAGTTCCTAGGCAGTTGGTAAACCCAGCTTGGAAGGGGGAAGACTGAGGCTGAAAGTCAGTTCTCCACCACGTAGCCCAGGATTTAGCTGTATCAGGAAGGAAAGTCCTCAGAAATGTGAACCTGCAGCTCCCCGATTACAATTCTGTAGTCGACATTGGCAGGTGAGTCTAGGATTTTGTTGCTGTTGTTTGGCTGGTCCCTTTTTGGAGATAG